GACTGCATGCAGCAGTGGTGTGGAGCAGAGTGACCTGAGGCCAGGCTAGGCTAGGGCCAGCTTCCTGGAGGAAGGACTCAGGAGGATGGTTCTCAGATGAACCACGCCTGGGGAGAACAGCCTTGGCCTTTCTTAGGAAGGAGAGAACATGGGGTCCCTTAAGTAATTTTCAGTTTCCAAATAGCTGATCCTTAGCCCACCACTGAAACACCGGAGACACTATTAGGAATTGGGAATTTGAGTCACTGGTGTGAAGGAAATCGAAGCAAGCACTTACTTATTATGTCAGAGATGGGAGGAAATCAAACAAACCTCCAACCTGTTTAGCCAACTCATGGGAAATGCTTGCATTTTCCTTTTCTTCATCTCCTCCTCTTGAAGCCTTGGTTGTTGAAGGCTGGCCCTCGTAATTGTCTACATGAAGGCTCTTATGAAAGAGCATCGCTCTTCACTCTTCAGTGTGCACCCTCCACTTGTCACGAGCAGCTTTTAGCAACACATTCAAAGTGTCTAGATATACTATAGCTCCTTGCCCCCCTTAAAACTCCTAGTAAATAAAACTGAAATCTGATTCTCAAAGCCTAACTTCATTGCAGACATTTGAAGAGAATGGCGTTGCTGGCTTGTGCATCTCTACTGAATGAAAATTGTTCACGCATTGATATAGAATGTTTGAATGACATGCTAGTCTTCACATCTAAAATAGTCCACTGACATGAAAATATTTCATGGTCTTGAGCAGGTAGTTTAAAAAATGACTTTGGAAAATGAATACACTTATTGCACTGCTGGCCTGTGAAGCCAGTGTCTGGGGAGACCTTACCAGTAACTGCATCTCAAATTTCCTTTGCCAATTTAGTCAGTAAACCATGGCCAATATTAGCAAAGGAAAGTCTCTTTGGAAGATGCACTTCTGTTTGGAAGTGTTTTGTAGAGCATCACTCACTGCGATAGAACTTGGGGTTATGTGGTGGAAGAATTGATCTGTAACTGGGATGTGCAGGACTAGAGCTATTGATCACATGTGGCTATTGAACACTTGGACATTTTACTTAACTTTAAATGGTCACTAGGACTAGTGACAACCACACTGGACAGTGTGCTCTTGCCTAGTAAACCCAAGATCCTGATTTCAGTCCCCAGCACCATAAAAACAGAAATGGCAGAAAGGAAATAAGGAGGGAAAAGAAAGGAAGAGAGAAAAGAAAGAAATTTATATTAAGTGGCTGAATTTAGGGGGCTGGAGAGATGGCTCAGTGGTTAAGAGCACTTGCTGCTCTTCCAGAGGACCCAGGCTCAATTTCCAGCACCCACAGTGGATCTGGCACCTTCTTCTGACCTCCATGGTCACTGCATGCACATGGTGCACATACATATATGCAGGCAAACATTCATACATGTAAAATAAAAATAAATATTGAGTAGATGAACTTTGTCTCGTAAGAACAAGCCTCACTGTGCTTGGTGCCAGCCAAGCAACGGTTGTATTTTAAAGGTGTTTGCGATGCTTTCAGTGCTGATTGAAATGCTGGCTTGTTATGCAGAATGGGACGCATGAAGACCTCTCATTTCCGAGCTTCCTGCTTACCATGCTCTGCTAAGCCCTAAAGCTGCACTTGGCTCCATGCAGGCTTGGCTGATGGCTTGGGTCTTGTCCATGGCACTCCCTTCCACGATGTCTGCCTTTAGCAGGTTGTAGAGACATTGACAGGCGTGTTGAAGATGGTGTGTGATGTGTGTCATAGATGAGAGTTCTATGAAGGTACATGAAGGGAGAGTGAGAACAAGTTCAAGGTGATGAGGACATGTTGTGGCTGGAGCTGAGTTACATTGGTTACAGCAGCAAGGGTCTGAAGGGCAGAGGCTGACATGTCTGTGCATTGCTGCCCAGTAAGAGCGGAGGAAGACTGACAGACACCATAGGAGTGGGGTCTCCAGAGGCCTGGCTGCACTTTTTATTTGTTTTAGAACATTTTATTTATTACATATACAGTATTCTTCCTACATGTATGCTTGCAGGCCAGAAGAGGGCACCAGATCTCACTACAGATGGTTGTGAGCCACCATGTGGTTGCTGGGAATTGAACCCAGGACCTCTGGAAGAACAATTAGTGGCCTTAACTTCTGAGCCATCTCTCCAGCTCCCTAATTGTAACTTAAAAAAAAAAAATCAGTGTTGCTGTATCCATCTAAGGTATGCAGCATGTTATTATGGGATACATACAAATAGTTAAAAGGTTACTACAATAAGGCAAATAATACATCATCTCATATAGTTACCTTAACTTCTTTCTTTGTTTGCAAGGAAAGAGCAGAAAAAAAAAAAAAAAAAACTATTCATTTACCATGAATCCCAAATGCAGTCCAGTTTGGTTATCTGTACTCCTGGTGTTACAGCAGAGAAATCTAATTTTTGAGCACTTGGCTGATATGCGCATATTTGTGTATAGGTGCGTGCATGCACACACACTTACGCACACACTCCTTTTGGAATGAAAGTTTTTGAAGTGTGGCCTTGAGCTGGGAGAGCTTCTAGAATAGCTAGCCCATTGTCATAATGGCACTAGCATAATGGTCGACTGCAACGGGCCTTTTCCGTCTGTGATGACGTTTGCAGTAACAATGGTAGAGGAAGTGGCTGATAGCTCAGGACAATGCTCACTGTAGTCCTAATCTCTGTGCTATCACAGTTACATGAGACTGCTTTTTATTTTAAAATGTCTGACGAAAAGGTTAAAAACTTTATTAGATTTATTACTAGGTCTCATTCTTTTAAAGAATATTTACTTGCACATGTGTGTGTGTGTGTGTGTGTGTGTGTGTGTGTGTGTGTGTGTGTGTGCACGTATGTGCTCAAAGAAAAGCCTATCAAATCCCCTGAAGCCAAAGTGAGCTGCCCCATGCGGGTCTTGGGAAAGTGTGTCCTCTGGAAGAGAGGCACAGCCATTGTGCCAGCCTCCAAACCTCAGTTCTTAAGTAGACTTTTCATATTTACTGTAATGAGACAGAAAGCTGGTGGCATTCGAGGGGCTCATTCCGTGAGGATGCCAAGTACAGCCAGCAGAGCCTCAGGGGTCACTGAGGCCCAGCACAACACCCAGCCATGCCGGTTACACAGCCCCTCCCAATAGAGTTTGAGGTTCAGTCTGAGACCTGGCTGGGAGAGTGAAGTGAGTTTTCACGTACAAGAGAGAAAAATGCTACAGCTTTCAAGGCTAAGGGCATATTGTAGCCAAGGAGATCAGAAGGGCAAAGATTCTAGACACGATCCTAAGCAAAACTGTGAAATAAAGACTTGTGGCCTAAAACATTTTATTGTCACAGCACTGAAAACAAAAAAAAAAAAAAAAAAAAAAAAAAAAAAAAAAAAAAGAAAAGTTGAAATCACAAGCCATGACATTATGGTCTTGGCATTTGACAGATATTTTCCTGAAAATGAATGCTACCCAAGGAAAATATTTAATACTGTTAGCTGGCAATGATGAGGGTGGGGTAAGGGAGAAAAAAAAAACCCAAAAAATTCATCTTTCAAGTGAAAATTAGGAGTTTTGAAAACTTGTGTCTTTCACCATGAATTTGATAGTCTTTGATACTTAATTTTTGGTTCCATACCTTTACCTAACCTATACAAAAACACCACTAGCTAGCCTGTCGTGAGTTCAGGGCCTGCCTGGGATGCAAAGTGAGGCTATCTAAAATGAGAAGAGGGGGGAAAGCTATAGTGGTAATTACCACTTGCTGACATGTTTTGACTTTGCTGTATTTCTAAGACAGGTCCCCCTTAGGTGCCCAGGCTGGCTATGAGACTGTGGTCATCCTCCTGTGGTCAGCTTCTGACATTTGATATCAGAGCAGATATCATCTGTATTTGTAATATCTGCAATTTCATGGGGTCTGCTAAAGTAGCCTTCCCTTTGCCACTTACATATCTGTGTGTCTGGCTTTTCTTCCTTCATTTCAAACAATACATATCACACAATACATGGAATGCCATAGACTTGAATTCAGCTGAATCCTACTAAAGCCCATCATGAAAAGATCCATGAAACTAGAATGATATCATCTCACTAAATCTTTACTGTGTAAACATGCCTATTTTAAATGTCCTATGTAAATATAGTGGCCCTGCAGGCTTTGGAGCCTGTCTGTTCTTTGTAAGCAATCGCCTATCTGTCCGAATATGTTGCTCTTAGGAGGTGTAAGTCTGTGAAGCAGTTGTCCTTTTCACACTGAATGTCTCCCTAAAACCACATGAGCCCAGGAAGTGCTAGATCTGGTGTCTCCTCATTCTTCTCCCATCTCTCCACATCTGTAGTAAGTCACCCTCCCCAGGTCCACCCCATTGCCTGCTTCTGAGTATCTGGTCAGCTCTCATGGAGGATTTGGGCAGACAGAGTGTACGTTAGATCGAGTGGTGTACTAGGGCACTAAGATATTTAGCTGAGTCACTCAGGGAGCATTCCTGATAAGAGATGTTCTTGAGAAGCAGAGCTGTGCACAAGGATTCAGGGGCTGACCAGCTGCCTGCCTGCCAGGGCCTCCGATTTCTTACTGTCTAAGTTGGCACAGGGCAGTGGCCTGCAGTGGTTGTCTCCGCTTTAACCTAGAAGTCATCAGAGCTAGAAAGGGCTGCATGTTTGGGTATCCTGTGCTGCCCCCTCTCACCTTTGCTCCTTTGGAGCTCTGCTTTCAAACTTGAGGCTAGTTTTTAATGTGTGTGTGTGCACTTAGAATCTCCACATAAAATGCTATAACTTCCTGAGACCTGAATTTGGCTGGAAAGAATGACAGGCCAGGATTGAGCTCATGGTGGTTCTCTCTCTCTCGTGAGACGAATCTGGTTTCACCCTGGCTTCCTTGTATGATGGGTGTACTGTCTGGGAATTGAGGGCAGCTCACTAACGTAATGAAGAGAGGGAAATGATGTTGGCTGTATTTCACTCAGCATTAGTGTGCATTGTTCTAACTGTCTCACGTGTATCCCTCTGTTCTCTCTTCAGGGATCCTTATCTTCTGGACCCAACTCTGGAATATGTGAAGGTAGGAAAGCGGGGCTTAACATGGACTTATCACTCTGGGTAACGGTATGCCAAATGTGCCTGCAGGATGGTTGTGTTGAGAGCTGGCAATATTACCTGCCTGAAACAGCCAGAAGAAGTTTGGCTCTCACTGGCCTTATGTGAGCTTGGCAAGGCTCTCTATCATCCTGTTAAGTCTATGGTCTTTCACTCATGGGACCCAGATATGTTTTAAAATTTGTAGTCGTGGGTTTGTTTTTGTTTTGTAAGTTCTAGCTTACACTCAGGAAGACCTCCAAAGAGGTCTGGAGTCAGCAACGTATAATCAAACTCATTATTGTGGCACTGACACATAATATTCACACTGGATAAACAGCTCACAGAGGACTTTATGTGTCCAGATCATATTTTGCTACCCAGTGAAGTCATTCTGTTTTGTCATTGAGTGAATTCTCTTTCTTTTTATTTTCCTCTCAGATTTGGGGGAACTTTGGCAGGGCGTAGAAGAGGCATTGTGGATAAAGCTTTATCTTGGGTGGGAGGATGAAGGCCCTGGGGTTTTAAGAGCTGGCTTTTCCTCTTCAATAATCCCCTCAGTAACTAACTTGGGCCCAAGCAGTAAACCTGCCCCTCAGAGGGGCTCACATTTAATGCTGCTTAGCTGCCCAGCCATTCTCAAGGTCTGTCTGTCCTTTCTGCCCTCCTCCCACTTCAGGTAGATTTTACTTTTAACCCATAATTAAATCAGGCACTTCTTACAGAAGAGAGGCATGATCACATTGAGATTTGTGACAATGGCTCTTGCTGTTGGACTCCATGGCATGAGTTAGGTTATATGATCTCTCCTGAGGACCCATGGCCGATCTTCTCTACTCTGTGTTCAGAGCACACAGGCCTGTGGCTCCTATAGGTCTGGCATTCCCTCCTTTTTGGCCAGAGCAGAGGGTAGACGGGAGCAGAGAAAGTTCCAGTCAGACTGCCTGCTCATGTTGAATAGGCCAGAATTACTTCTTCCCCTTTTCATTTTTTCTCTTGTGTAGCCTTCGTCTCCTGGAACTGGCTCTGTAGGCCAGGCTGGCCTTGAACTCATAGTGATCCTCTTTCTTCTGCCTCCTGAGTGCTGGGATTAAAGGCATGTGGCACACCATCGGCCCTCTTCCCTTTCCTTAATTCTGAATAACGTGTGAACCATCGGGACTGTGGCAAGTGTGTGAGCCGCAGCCAGCAGGGTCAGAGGTTTAGAAACGGTGTGTCTGCACCCCTCCAGTATGCAACACATCTGTTTTCATACAGGTCATGCATCTCTAAGCCTTGATAGTACCCCCCCCATAGAGTGTGTTTTGACTTGACGGTAGCAAGAAGACAGTGTGAGACAGAACAGCAGTTCAGCTTTCAGAAGTCACTCCACTCCATGGTTCAGAGGTTGGCTGTCTCCCACCAGAGGCTCAGACCCTCTGTGTTCACCAAGTGTAACCCTGATCCTTGCTCTAGAAACTCATTTCCCTCTTTTACAAAACTCTAAACCTCTTTTCTAAGACTTCCGTGGTGAATCTGCTAACAATAGGCCATTTTAGAACGGTCTGTTTTAATGCAATAGCCCTCACTTCTCTGTGGTTGTATCTACCTACAACCAACCAGTAATCAAAAACACTAGGTCAAAACTTCCAGAAGTAAGCAGTTCATTCCCTTTAAATCGTGCCTGTTTCTGAGTAGCATCTTGAAATCTTGCTGTGTCCTGCTCATCCTTTTGATGTAGCCACACTGTATGGGCTGCTGTTCCATCCGTGACAAGGAGTCCATTGGTTGTCACAGTATTGCAGGGCTTGTGTTCACGTGACCCTCATTTTACTCATAGGTTCCAAAGCACAGGCAAGAGATGGGACGGGAGCTCTAGTGTGTCAGACATGCAAGGATGGACTGACTGTTTCTGTGTGGCAGCCCTGCAGGGCACATAGGATAAGGCATAGTGTGGAGTCTATAGACTGTCACTATCTGTGATTTCAGCCATCCACTGAGGGGCTTGGAATATATCCCTGAGGATAAGGGAAGGACTATCGTATTATCTGAGTTATTGCAACTTATTCATGAATGTCAGTCCAAGTAAGCTGAACGGTGTTAGCATAAAGCACGTAGGGAACCTTGGTGGATTCCATGGCAGGCGAGGGAGACCAATGCGGGGGACAAACTCGCCAGGCAGACAGAGCCCAGTAAAAAGTTTTATTAGAAAGGGAAGGGGAGGAAGGAAAGAGAAAAGGAGGTAAAGAGACGCAGAGACTGAGAGAGGACAGAAGAGAAGAGGGAGACAGGAAAAGTCCTGTCTGCCCCAGGGGAACAGCAGGAAAGAGAGTGAGCAGGAAAGAGAGCATAAGTGGGCAGGGGTCTTTCTTTTAAAGGGGTCCTTTGTACCTGGGTTGACCAGGATACTGCCTGAGTACATTCTGCCAGGTGACAGGGGCAGGCCAGCATAACGCCTGAATCCTTACAAATAGTATAGACCAAGAAGTGGTGTAGTGAATTTCAATGTCTTCCATTTATCCTGGCTTTCCCTGCCTTCTCCTGGCAATGGCAAGGTTGATAGAACTGCCCTTTGGAGTCTTGGAGAGTCTTACTTGCAAGGAGATTGTGGGGTTGAGGTGCTGAGCCTCCATGTGGGTGGAGGAAACCAAACAGTGTCCTCTAGAAGGGCAATAAAGTGTACTTAACCACTGAGCCATCTCTCCAGCCCTCAGCCTTTATTTTCTTTCTTTGCCCTTATCTACAGCAGTGGTTTTTAACCCTCCTAATGCAGCAACCCTTTAATAAAGTTTCTCGTCGAGCAGTGGCGGCACATGCCTTTAATCCCAGCACTCAAGAGGCAGAGGCAGGTGGATCTCTGTGAGTTTGAGGCCAGCTTAGTCTATAGAGTGAGTTCCAGGACAACCAAGGCTACACAGAGAAACTGTCTTGGGGAAAAAAAAATACAGTTCCTCATGTTGTGGTGACTCCCAACCATAAAATTATTTCCGTTGCTGCTTCGTAACTGTAATTTGCTGCTGTTATGAATTGCAATGTAAATATCTGTGTTTTCTGATGGTCGTAGGCAATCCCTGTGAAAGGGTCATTTGACACCTCCAAATGGGGTCACAACCCACAGGTTGAGAACCACTGGTCTAAAGCAATGGCTGGGGAGAGGGTTGGGCCAGTGTGGAATATTTCATTGCCTCAGTGGTCCACAATGACATTGAGAGAGGCCTCTGAGCACAAGGTCCCAAGGGAGCCTACTTGTCAATCTTCTTGAGTCAGTTCTGTCCATCACAGCACCTCTCTGATGGAATTGTCCCTCAGAGCCAGGCAGATGGTGTCAGGGTAACTGGTGCCTGTGACGACTAAAGAGAGACCAAGGCAGATGAGAGGCGTGGATAAAGGGAGGTGCAGTTTAGCCCCTTGACTTTTAGCTGCGGCTTCCCTACAGTCTCCTGGTACATTCAATGTCTTTGGGGCATCAAGAAAAAAATAAATTTTACATTTAGTCCATTGTGCCATGAAACGCCATTCTGGTAGGTTCACCATTGGCCTAATGAACGAGAGACAAGGGGTCAGATGTTTCAGGATTTAAGGTTACCTGAGAACAGGAGTGGTCTTCTCAGTGGACAAACCCCATCTGAACAGAAGTACCTGACTGTGGCAAGATGGAGTGTCTCCCTCACTCCTCAGTTACGAAGCTGCCCTATGCCTCCCGGGCCTGAGGCGCTAAGGCTGTCCCCATAGCTGGTGCCTGGACTGAAGTGTCAGGACAAGACAGTGCTAGAGGAGACAGAATCCAGACTTCAGCTCTGCCCAGCTTGAGTTCTGTCCTCGCATCTGAGGACCTGTATTTGCAGCACAGTAATATGGCTGCAACAGAAGAGACTGTTGCTTAGTTACCTAAGTTCTTCTCAGGTGGAATGGAAGGAAATCACCAGGCTGAGAAGCCCCAGGGTGGTTGGCGGGGTTCTTTGACACTGTCCATGGGGCTAGCCTCCTGCTGGACCTCCTACTTAGACCTTAAAGGCTGCATTTGATATATGGATGAGACAGCAAAATAAATAGCAGATCCAAAGTACCCCACCCCACAGCAGGGAGGAGAGTGGCGTTGGCATCGCCTTCCTTGCTGATTTTTGTCTTTCGTCTGCCCTTGGGTCTGTTTT